TTTATTTGAAATTGAAATTGTATGGGGTAACCTGTGTTTTTATTTGCTAAATCTGGCAATACTAGCCAAAAGAAAATTAAAACAGCTTATTTTCTATCGACATTATACCACCCTGCACCAATGAAAAAAGTGAATTAGATAATTTTCTATTTTGTTTTAATGATTTCTATAACTCATAAAATGGGAAAGATCTCAAGCTTTATGAATGACATTGAAACAGATAAAAGAAATAGGCTATGCCATTGTAAAGGATCATGGTGAACATTTAAAAATCCACAAATCAGAATTGTGGGTCTTTTTGTCAATTCTTGTCATTTAGATAATCTCTAAACTGTGACTATAAAAAGTAATGCTGTGAACTACATACACAAATTGGTCTTATTTTATTGTCACCCTGCTTGCACAGTAACTAGATGATAACCTATTAGCCCTGCATTGCCAAGTAAAAAGTTGTCATTGCATAAGGTACATGGACTCATTATTTGCCCACTTCTTTTTCCGAACTGCCTCTGTCTTCTAAATGAAACATTAATTTTTCCAAGCAACTGTATCATTCAGTTCCTATTAGCAAAGAAAATATTTGTTTCCTAAACGTATCCAATTTCAGTGACAGGTACTTCTAAAGAAAGCAAACAGTTGTAAATGCAATGGCAGGATTCCTTTCATTTGGGTGTTAAGACAACCAATCCCCTTGAACACATTTTTTAAACATTTTTCTCCATTTAAATGTCTCTCTCCAGTGGATGCTATACCCTCCCCAAATCCCCAGAGAAAACTGTTGCTTAAAAAAGACTTCACCAAACCATGAAAATACTTGGCGAACATTTTTCTTATAAAAACACAAACATAATTAAAACAGGTCCACATGCTCACGTTAAATTAATGATCTGGTCGATATGATTTTGGGTACCGAAGAGAGCCATTCTGGATTATTCAGGTATCGTGAATTGTCTTTACCTACGTTGTCTGATCTGAATTATCTAAAACTTGTGTCTCTGGGAACCTGACCTTAAGGTTTAGCTGAGCTGGGCTTTTGAAACATACCAGTTTGCAAATGACTTTGTGGAAGACATAAAGTCCTTGGTGAGACTTTACTTCTATTTGTTACTGAGCATTTTTGGGACTGTTGTGCTAAATCTGAGCTGGCATGTTATTAACCTTTTCAAATCAGGCATTTAGTAGGCTGAGCCGAATCTTTTCTTAATTCGCACATTAGGGTTTGCCTGAACAGCTGGCACTGTGCTGGAATATTAGTTGAGCTCTTTGATTTACATTGCCAAAGAGCAAACATATAAACTCTGCTTTTGGAGAGGATGACATAATCAGTGCCAAATACAGTGAACGTTATTAATAAGAATAATAGAAACAACAAGAGCTAACATTTACTGAGTGCTTACCATGTCCCAGGTACTGTAGGTATCTTCAGTCATTTAACACTTTCAACAACTTTATGAAGTTTAAACCCCCATCTTTGTAGATAAGAAAACTCTGAGGGGTTAAGTTACTTGCCCTAATTTACACAATCAGTAAACAGTAAAACTTAGCCTGGGCAATCTACCTGCAGAATCTCTGTGCTTTACCACTTTGCAACTCTACCTCAGTAAGTGTATCAGGTAACAAGGAAGAGCTTCCATCTTCTCAGGTAAAGGTGTCACCCCTTGAACTGTGACACAGACTTCAGAGTAACAGAAGGTAACCAGGCTAAAGGAAAGCAAACAACCTTTTACCCAGACTCCCAACCAACCACAGGCAACCTTGCTGTTCCTGTAAATGCGTGTGCATATTTTTAGTTTATTTTTCACATGTTTATGAAAGATTTATGATAAGGCTTCAATATGCTTATGACATATGTCAGGACCTGTGGTAAGAACAAAGCCATAAATGTGTAGGGTGGGGCCTTCCTTCAAGGACGAGGGTGTTCTAGATGTTAGTCATTTAGAGAAGGGCTAGGACAGGCCCAGAACACACACAGGATCTCTAGCAGGATGGCAGGCTGGAATCTAGCTCCTGGTCTTGATCAGCAAGGACCCAGGACCCAAGTAGGCCTGTGAGGTGAGCTGGAATGCAGCTGCGTCCTTGGGGAGGAGACCAGGGGCAGATGGGACAGAACCCAGAGCAGGAAAAGTAGGATCCCTGGGATCTGTGCCTCTCTTACCTATGTTTCTTTCTCCTTTGCACTTCTTGAATGTTTGAAAAAGGCTGCTTGAAAGTTCCAGTATATTTCAGATATCTCCATAAGGGAGTTTTTAAAAATGAATTGGGTCATAGAACATGGGAGGGTGGCAATGATAGTGGCAAGAATGGAGGAAGAGAATCCAGCGGGGAGAGGGAGGGGTTGAGATGGAAGCTTCCCGTGGCCAGCCATCCTCCCTCGCTCCGGCTTCCGCCGCCCAACCCTGTGGGCTCTGGCTTGTATTCTAGCTTGTAGGCAGAACTCCTGTGTGTCTTGTACCTGCATTAGAGGTGCTGGGGAACAGCTTGGACAATAGCCGTGCTGTTTTCTAGCACAATTAACTTTGAGAGAACGGAAGACATTGCACATGTTTCTCTCTTCCTTTTTTAAAAAAAATGCAAGTAAGTAAATATAGAGATCTCCTTTTGCTGGGTTGACAATGGACACATTTGCAAATGTCCATTATGCAGGTTGGAGGAAATGCTATGTATATATTGATTTATTAAGCTACAAAATGTGTCCTCTTCCAAACCCCATTCCTGGCTTAAGATAGTATCATCTTTAAGGTTTTACAGAAAATTCCCCGAAGCCTCTAAACCTGGAGGGGGCAGCATGGGGTTCGGGCAGAAAACAGAGAAGCAACTGCTTGCAGAAACAAATTAGAGCTTTGCCAAATAAGTTCCAGGATGAGTGGCTGAAACCTGCATTCCACTTTAATTTCAAGAACACTCAACCTTCTTTCCTTTACCAACACACCTATTTGTTCCTTAAAAAGTGCTTCTTTTAAAGTGTCTGTAAACACTTTACTTTGGGATGCAAAGAAATGCATGATGTATTTATATCAAATAGCTTTAACACCACACTGACCACCTAAACAGACTCCTTCAGGGGTGCAAGCACAGAGGAGAGTGAAGCTTCATCACTCTCTTGGGGAGATGTACACACAAACCTAACTGTCTTCAGAGGTCAGGAGAGCCCTCAACTGGGCGGCTGTGATCTGCTTGGCCCTGCTGCTCGCTGGCTGGTTGGTCCCTGAGCCACCAGCCGCCTCACTCTGACAGTGAGCAAGGGCAATATTCCTGTCCTCGGAATAGCGTGCCTAACTCTGAAACTAGCTTTAAAAAAAAAAAAAAAAGTAAAATAATAATAAATAAAATCTAGAGCTCCTTGGGGGCTGGGGAGGGCGGGATGTCACTGCTCCCACTCAGCTTGGTAGGATTAATCCTGGTTTTGTCCATCGCCCGCGCTGCTAAAGGGATAAAAATAAAAAGACAAGCCACGAAATAAAATGAGCAAACAAACCTAGCTCTACTAGCTCTACTGTCTCACTCAGGGTGTTCTGAGCCTCTCTTGAGCCTCCTGAAAGGATTTCTAGGGAAGAGAGAAAGGAACCTTTCATGTCGCTTCCAAAATACCTCTGGCTTGGAGGCTTAGAGCAACTGCCACGCAGGGCAACCCTGGGGCTGGATGCGGCCGTTACACCTGCCGGACCCGGGAGCTCCCAGTTCCAACCGCGGCTTCGCAGCCAAAGTCACCCGAGACTGTTCGGGAATCGCTTGCGGACGCGTCTCCAAACTGTGCAGACGCCAGAGAGGAAAAGGGGGGTTTTTCTCAGGCATTCAGCAAGTAGAGGGAAAACGCACGCTACAGCGTCAGGTTAGGAAACTTTTCCTCAAAACTGCAGTGTCCTTTGGGAACTGCCAGGAAACCCCTAGCTTCTTTTCAAGGGATTGTAGCGCGACTTGTGTCCACAACTACAGCAACCCAAGCAATTCAGGAGGAAAAATACACACAGACTACGAGCAGGAGTCCATTTGGCCTGTATATGCGGTTTTGGAACATTGTTATGTAAACACGACAGTGTCCGCGCACAGGAGCTACTGTTTCCACCCGTGCCTTGTCCATACTCAGTTGTTCCTCGTCCGGCAGCATTTTCTGCAAAACTGGGTATCACAACTCTAGACTGAAAGCGCTGTTCCTGATCTCTCTCCTGCCCCCACCAAACCGAGCTCAGTCCTCCCGCTCATCTCCCTGCAGACCCCGGCTGTCGGTGCTCGCGAGACCTTCGAGGGGCTCGCGCGGAAGCCACCCGAGACGGTGCGTGTGTGCCGCGGCAGTGGGTGAAACGGGGGAATCCTAGTTTTAGCCAAGTTAACAATTTCTGCTATTGCACACATTTTTGGAGGCTCCGGGCCGCTGGAAACCCCAGTGGTGATCGCGAGCTTGAACCCGATCGGGGCAGCTTCGGTGGGACTTGAATGCCGCATCATCCCTAAGAAGGGCGCCGGAGACCAGAGACCGCCAAGGATTGGTGAACAGAAGCCAGCTCCGTGAGGTGCGCAGGCACTGCTCAAAGCTTTCCCGCAGGCGATCCCCACCGTCCCCCACCCCTGCCCGGCTTCTTCCATTGTTAATTCCTCCCCGGGTCCAAGCGCGTCAACAAGTGTGCTGCCCGACTCTGGCAGAGCGTGCCTGCAGACCGCGAAGCCTCAAGTCATAGTCAGTGTCGCTCACCCGGGGCTTGAACGCATGGTGCAGCCACCTGTTCTACAAACTCAGCCTGGAGTTTGTGGGGACGCTGGCTGCCGCAGGAAGGACCCTGTCACCCCCTCGGTTCGGACCGGCATGCTTCAGGATCTCCAAAGGTGCGCATCACCCCAATCCAAGGGCTCACATCCTTTTACGCAACCTCGGAGGCCCGCACCACGGGGGCCACCCGCGCGCGGGGACTTAATTCCCAGTCTCCCTGCTTCAGCCCCTACCCCAGCGCAAGCCGCCGGTGCCCATTCCATGCCCGGCCCCTCCGGAGGACGGCGCCCCAGAGTACCTGCAGTGAAGATGCAGAGAGCGAAGAGAGTCTGGGAGACCATGGTATCCTGGTGCTTGGTGCCCAGTCCGGCGCGGGCAGCGGGAGAGTTTGTCTGGACTGACCTAGCGCACGGGGTGCGGATTGCTCCTCCTCTGCCGAGCGGGCGGCGGTGGGAGCCTGGAGGCCCGCGAGGATCCGGAGGCGAAGCTAGCCAAACGCTGCACGGCTCCGTCAGCTGCGTGTTCTACGGCGCTCAGCGCGCTTCTGCTCCATCCCAGCCGCCCGAGCCCGGGGCCGCCTCCGCCGCCGCGCCAGCCGCTCCTAAACCCCTCCCACTGGGCCCCGTGGCGGCGACAAGGCCTCCTCCTGGCCTTCCCTCTCCCAGCGCTCGGGTCCCGGGAGCCCCGGCCCAGGGCGGCCTCTGCTGGACAGTTAGGGCTCCCGAGGCCTGCTCTTTGACTGGGTTCAGCAAATGTTTGGAGTGACCGTATGCCATGTTAGGCGTCACCTCGAAGAGCCAAACCCAGTATTAAAAGAGAACACGCCCATTTCTTTCGAAGTAAGAGAACCTTTTCCTTCATTCCCCTAAACGTTCCTGCCTGCATGTCAAAGTCTCACACACATTCAACCCTACTGCACTTCCTGGTGCCTGAGCCGGGAATTCAGCTGTCCTACTAGGTTTCTCACCGGAAGACATGGTACTAATGTCTGGTAATATTGATCACGGGATTACTATGAGGAAGGCATCATCCTAGGTGTTGTATCGTGACTCCTTCTAACAACCCTATGTAGTAATAATTATGCCATTTTACACATGAGAAAACTAAGGCACAGAGGAGGAATGTGCTCAGTGGTGCATAGCTGGTAAGGGCCCTGTCCATAATTGAACAGTTTGTGTGCAACAGGGCCACAGTAGCAAAGGCCGACATTTCCCCAGTCATTGCTAAATGCTGGACAACTGTGCTGTATAGGTTTTGACCAAGTCAAGTACTCACAACAGTCCTTCAAGGTGGGCACTGTTATGGCTTCATTTTCAAGAGGAGGAAGTGGAAGCACAGAGAGGTGTAAGTCCTCAACCAAGGTCACACAACCGGCTCACTATACAGATAAGATGCCTGTCAAGACACCCTGGGTCATCCCCTGCTCTCTGCTCTTTTTCAAAGCCCAAAAGTTCTGTGTGTTCACACAGGTCAAAGCTGACCTTTTGCTTAATCAGCCCCACCCCCACCCACTATCTTAGACTTGCTTATTTTTCACATGTCTATCAGACCAGATGTCGCGTCATCGCTTAATATCTACATGACTAGGAGCCCGGTGGTCCCCTAGTCACTAGAACAAGGGAGCTACAGGAATCAAAGAGCCTTCCAAAAGAATTTATTTGTTTAGGACCATTAATAGCTCCGGAGAACAGCTTTTTTTGTGGCTTCTTTCTCATATACCAGAGCTTCAGGTTTTATCTTTTCAGTCTTATGGGCTTCATCATTTTAACTGTGACAAAGTCAATTCCTCTTTCTGATCACCATACCACTGTAGAACTTGTTATACTTCTACCACCAGAAAGGAAAACTGGGCTCATAATCTTTTCTCTTTCTTTCTTGATTTCTTGATTTCTTTCTTCTTTCTTTCTTTTTTGTTTTGTGAATTTATTGATTCCTTCTGGAATGAGAAGTAAAAGATATTAGTACAACCAGTGCCCATCCTCCTTCTCTTCTCCATGGCCAGAGAAACTGCAAATTCAATTTGTTAAACCTGTTCTCTGAATGCTTTGGACCTGAGGTCCTTCCGGCTTCTGGTGTAATCTACGTGATTATAAAGAATTTCTGCATCTGGGTTGTGGTTGTCATGGAGGCAGGGACCACACACAGATGGATTTTGCAGGGCCGTTCTATAAGGAACAAGGGCCTTTAAATAGGGCTATTTAAATAAGTGACTCTATGACAGAAATGAAGTTTTTTTCAAAACCACTTCACAGAAAAATGATTTAATTAAAATTCAACAAAACTTTAATGAAGTCCCTCTGGAGTGCAAAGCATATGTGATTCTGACTTTGATATCTAAGATGATTGTTTGGTACTCAAAAGATGGTGATACCCACATACTAATCAGTTAAAATTTCCAAGGTTTTTCATTGTACACAGAATAGAGTTGAAATAATTTCTTTAACAAAATCATTTATTTTTATTAATGATTAAAACTTTTAATTTATCAATTTAGTGAAAACACATTTGATCACGTACCAGGTGCCAGACACTGTGCTAGGCTGTGGGAATGTAATAGGTTGTAATAGACAGGGTAGGCTAGGTTATCCTGCTATATAATAAACCACCCCAAAGTCTCAGAGGCATAAGCAATAATGGTTTATTTCTCTCTCATCAAAGTCTGCTGTGGATTCTTGTTATTTCCCAGGATAGCTGCTCTCTACCTCTAGACTCAGGGCTGTACCTCCCTATTAAAACCTGTTTCCCCACTCACTGAGACAGGGAAAGAGAGAAGTGGAGAGTTCAACGCAACATTTAAATCTTCTGCCTGGAAGTTTCTGCTCATATTTACTGGCTAAAGCAAGTCAATGGTCAAGCTCAACTTCAAGAAATCAAGGAAGCACAGTCTCCTTGTGTGCTCAGATGGAGAGGAGAGCTGGACAGCAGGGAACTGTCGCGAAGTGTGCCACAGTGGTTAATTGTCCCTGCCATCAGGAAGCTTACATTCTAGCAGTGGGGAGTCAAACACTGAATGAATCACCACAAAAGTATATGCAACTAGCTTATGTTAAATGATATAAATGATAACACCCACTAACTTTTATTGAGTTTCTGCTATGAGTTAGGAATAAATCCAAGCATTTTATGTAATCTGTTTAAACTTTACACTCTAGAAAGTTATCCCAATTTTAGAAAGAAAGAAACAATCCCCCAAAACTGAGAGATATCTGAAGAGAGTTTAAATATGAAGGACACCAAAAAATGCTATGAGAAATGATGGCAAGGTGACTTGCACTCCTCGGTGGAGTCAGGGATGGAATTTGCATGCAACCCTTTAGTCACACCTTACAGCAAAAGCTGGTATCTTTATAGAATTTCCTTGGGATAAAATCTAAAATAAATCTGCCTTATACTGATTTACACTTTTTTTATTACTGTTAAAATTAATTTCTAGTATTGTAGACTTTCAACACCTTACAAAAAATTGTCCTTGGTTGACTTAGTTTTTGACATCCTGAATTTATTATGTCTTATAGATAATGTCATATAGTAAATGTTAGATAATATAGGAGTGTTAGCTTTGGACTCGGGGGTCTATCGTGGTCTCAGAGAGGCCGAACACCGTGGTTGGGAGACCAGGGTGAGGCAGTACGTGCAGTGCTTAGAGGCTGGGTGCTGATGTCCGGCCTGTGGCCCCTGAAGGCTCGATTTTAATCTGCCCTCTGCAGTACACTAAGTGACTCTAATTACTTGACACCTCTTTGCCTCAGTTTCTTCCTGGCGTTATCGGGAAGATGAAATGGATTATAAATGTGAGAAGTGTGGCATGGTCTAAGTACCAATAAATGTTAGCTATTATCAGAGGACAAACTTTGCGGTGCATTTAAAAAATTTGGATCTAAAATACAAGAAAGAGTAATGCCTGCTGCAGCCACTTCTTCACACATACAGTTCTGTGACTTGGGCTCTGCCCTCAGTCATTCCATTCCTGCTACAACTGAGCTGCCGGGAGAGCTCTAGACTGTCTCTGATACCCCTTGCCCACCTCTCTTTCTTCCTCCCCTAGCGGCAGGAATCTGCAGCCTCCACACCCTGGTTTATTCTGCCTCGGTTTCTTTCTTCTTCCCAAGCTGCATTGCACACATGTCTGAGTGGGCTCTGCTACACTTCCTCATGTCATTTTGTTTTTCTTAGCTTTGACTCTTTTTGAAAACATTAATGGCAAAAAGATTAAAAGCAATTATGGAAAGTGTGCAAAGAGTAAATTTGGAACTTTGCCAAGAAATATTTGCTTGAACAAGGGTAGTTTTGATAGAGTATGATGAAACATGATTATTTTCCTGATTTAGATAAAGTTTGGAGCTGCATGAGTTCTTTGAGGACACTAAAGTGCAGGTCACTCATTTTTATTTTACTTAAGGAGAAAGCCCCTAAAATATTTCAGGAAGGAGGAAACAGTGTTCTAGGAAGTGATACCCATAATGAAACCTCTAATTTAAAGAAGCCTAAAACCTGATTGAGTTGATATCGTACAACTGTGTTGTCCATAGAAATAACATTCAAGTCACATATTTAACAAACATTTCTAGAAGTCTTATTTTTAAAAAGGGGAAAGAATGGGTGGATTTAAATTAATTAATCAAAGCATATTTAACAATACACTTTATTTACCACAATATACCTAAAATATTTTTCACTTCATAGATAATGAAAATAAATATATTAATGAAGTATTCTTTTTCTTAATCTGTCTTTGATATCCAGCATATAGTTTATACTTACATGACATCTCAGTTCAATACTTAGCACATTTTGGTTAAATGTAACTAGTAACTGTCACAATGGACAGAGCAGCTACAGAGCATGTGACAGAGCCCAGGTTGTTCCCTTGCCTCGTGGGGAGGTTCTGTCACAATACGGAGCAGTGCTGATGGGACTTTCTTCACTCACAGTGCAGTGGTTGGAAGCCTACCACTTGCTAACTGCATGGCATCTAGCCCTCTTTAAACTCTCTCTTAGCTGCCCCTTCTATGAAATAGAGGTGATGATTATAATAATGATACCTTGCTTAAAAGGATTATTGTCAAGATTAAATACATAGAAAGCATTTACAGCAGACCTTACACAGAGCCTCAATAAATGTTTACGGTTACATTTGGTAGGAAGGGTTATGATGAAAAATGGTTAAGAATAGTAAAATCTTCCCATTGTCATTGTGGCATTAGAGGTTCCTTACTACTCAGAGACATTGACAATATCACTTGTCCCTAGAAGTCTCTGTAGGCATAGTTTAGAGCAGCATTTCCCAAACATTCTGGTCTCAGGATGTCTTTACATTCTAAAACTGATTAAAAACTCCCCGAACCATTTGTTTATTAAGAGGGGCATTTTAAGGGCCCCTTCAAATAATTGTAGTTTTCTTCCTTTATATTGTACCAAAACTTAACAAGTAGTAGTTTCTTAAAAGTTAGTAGCAATGTGGAATGCAAAAGCATCTCAGTGAAGTTTTTATATTTCTTTAAATTAAAATCTTTTGGCCTATCTTACACCTTGGACGTATCTTTTGCCCAGGTGTGATTTTTGTAACCTCATGCATTGGTCATATAGGAAATACTGGTTCAAGTTATGT